TGTGGTGACCACTAAAAGTAGCAGCTGACAGAAGAAGAAAAAGATAGTAGTTGATAGTAAAGATTTGTGGATTAGATATGCATTTGTAGTATTATTGATGTCAACTTCACCTCCAGCTAATTCAGAACTTTACAGACAGACGCACAGCCCATACACTAACTAACTGTTCTAGCGCTAGCTGTGTTCACAATATTGAGGAACTCTTCCTGAGGACTTTGGAGAGGTCAGTACAGTTCCCATTTCAACATTTACATGTTAAAAAGTTATCATAAGTATTAACATTGCTGGTGCAGATGTTTACATTAGACGTTTAACTGTTAGCAATTATCTCATAGTCACATTAGCTGTGTATTATCATTAAGGTAGCAGCTAGCAGCTATGGCTAACAACAACCCTGTTAATGTGGAACCTGAGCAACAAATGCTATCAGTTCTGCCTCTCTGTAATAATAATAGTTATACCCTTAGAAACAACATGAGTTGGACTGTGTTATAACAGTGAATGCCCAATGCATGCAAAAGCTAACAAAGTTTTGCCCAGTTCCATTTCCCATTCTTTTCTTATTTATTACCATGGACCTAAATGGGGATATAATATGCTTATCAGTTAAGTCATAAACATAATTAAGACTTAAATAAACTTAATTTATAAATATGTTACCTTTGGAAGAGCATAAAGTGAATGAGAAGCTCATTATATAGTTAACGGCTACAGTGCTAAGTCGTTTTTACCAGCTGCAGGAATGACAGGGGAGCTTGCACAAGATTTCATGTTGGATCTTTCAAACTGACACCAAGACATGTTTGAGCTATTTTAACACTCCTCTGACAGTTGTTGTTGAGGCTTCCTTTATTTTGCCATAGTTACCTGCAGATGTGACACCGCTGGCTCCAGGGCATCCTTTGTCTCATCACAAAAGCCACTAGCAGTTGATACAAACATCATTGGACACTCGTGGAATACACACCATCTCACCTGTCACACTGTAACGATCACATCGACAATGTGCTGCAAACACGAGGAGCAAAAATTTACACAGACACAACCCTCAGCTTAGATTCATGTCCCATATGACCACTGACGTGCATCCGTGTGAGCGCGGCCGTGTGTAATGTGTATGTTTTTATGTGTGTCAGTCTGTCTGTGTGGGGATAGTTGGAGGCCATCTTTCATCTCTTGCTGTGATCAGGTATTCTACATGATATGATATGATGATACAGGCCCAATTAAGGGATGGGGCTGTGTGAAAAATGTGATGACAGGGCAAGCGGAAGACTAGACTGTGATCTGACATCTGAGAGAGAGAAAAATAGAAGTGAGAGAGAGGAAAAGAGAGAGAGAGAGGGAGGAAAAGAATGAGAGGGGCGGTAAAAGAATGGTTTAGTGTGGGAGAGGACAAGTGAGGACAGATGAGCCTGAAAGATGGGTGAAGGAAAGAAGGGAAGAATGATGCTGGTAAAGGAAATGAAAATGGGGTAAGTGTGAGAAAAATAGTGACAATGAATGTTAAGTAGGGAGAAGCAGAGAAAATTAATGTGATGAGAAAAGGAGAGGGAATAATGAAGAGTGTGGCACTTTGGATTTTCAGTGACACCAGATTCATATTAATGAATTGAACCAATTAAAATAAATGTATCAGTCTAATTCATAAGAAAAGCCTTAATTTTATTGACCCCCAATTCTGTGCAGAATCACAGAGACAATGATTTGGTCCAAATGGAATGTATTTATCTCACATATTACATACATAATCAGCAAATAATGAGTAGTCAGGGTGAAAAATAAATATTTAATTGCAGAGTAATTATTAAGTGATCCTCCCTTTTAGCCATGAAGGACCAGAGTTACTATGCAGATCAAAGTAATGTGAGACTGGGCAGTGGGAAGTGTGTGAACAATCTACTGAGTGACTTAAAAAGATAAGATGGCTTTCACAGGCAGTTCCTTGTAATAGTGACCAACACAAGGCAACAGTAGTACTTTAAATTACTACTAATGAATCACTAATGAACAGACCTGATGAGGGAGCAGTTTCTTAAGATGTAAGGGCAAACTTTAAAGTTCTAAGAAACTAAATAGTGTGCTTTGGTGAAAACTATTTCACCGGTAAATCTTGTGTGACAGCTGTCCTGTAGGGTGAGTAGGGTAACACAGAAAATTACCTTAAGCATTTTGATTGAGTGATTATGCATAATTTCTTGTATTATTCTTGTTTTTGCCATACAGGGTTGCAAGTATTTATTAAAGTTCATTGTGCATATTGTGAGAGTCAGGCATTAATCAAAAACACACCTTTGACCTGCTTAAATCACTGTAATCTCTGTAGTTTGACAAATCAAATATTGGGAGTCAGTAAAAAGCTCTGCACTCACGACATATAGCCATTCACCTGTGTCAGTATCTTGTGCTTAAAATATTCCCTTGGCATTCGACAAAAAGTACCACTCCTGGCAGCAAATATCAGACCCAAATCAGGCTCAAAATATGATGGGTTTTTCTCAGTATTGCAGTCAATGTACTTTGCAGTAGATTCCTTGTGAAAATCTTTGTAAATTAAGTTTGCATGATTCATTTAAATTAGCTCCTCTCCAAATTTTGCACTCCTACAAATGCGTGTACAAGGAATCCAGCTACAAACATAACTGTGTCCTCTCAGTCGTTAAATAACATCAAATTTAACATGGGCGATCGTGGCTCAAGAGTTGGGAGTTCGCCTTGTAATCGGAAGGTTGCCGGTTCGAGCCCCGGCTTGGACAGGCTCGGTCGTTGTGTCCTTGGGCAAGACACTTCACCCGTTGCCTACTGGTGGCGCCAGTGTCCGGCAGCCTCGCCTCTGTCAGTGCGCCCCAGGGTGGCTGTGGCTACAATGTAGCTGCCATCACCAGTGTGTGAATGTGTGTGTGAATGGGTGGATGACTGGATATGTAAAGCGCTTTGGGGTCCTTAGGGACTAGTAAAGCGCTATATAAATACAGGCCATTTACCATTTATTTTATAAAAAGAAGGTTTTGCACTGGCCTTTAGGCTTGTTTGATAAAAATATACAAAATTAAAGTTGTTCTGAGGTTGTTTAACTTACGGCCCCTGCTGGGTGATGTCCCTTGTGAGTTAGCTGAATTTTATTCAGTGGCTTTTCAAGGGAAAGTTTACATACCACAGTTTTTATATGCTCCTTCTTCTGAAACAAAAACATTTCCAAAGAGGTGGAATTACGCTTGTGACTTCTATCTTTTGGTGTAACATCCTTTTGTACTGCAGTGCATTGCAGTTATATTGCTGATACTTGAAAGCGAGTTTGGCAGTTGTTGTACAGTTGATATCTTTGAGGGTTATAGAGGCATGTATTCAGGCGGAGAACATTTAAGCCTCAAATTTACTCAATTTTATTCTTTCTATAAGAAAGAAAGACTACTGGAATATTTTGACATTGAATTGTGGTTAATTTGGTGTTTTGTGCTGTGCTGTGTTTTAACTAGAGGCCCTTAAAACTATAAATGAAACCGAATATTAAACTAGTTAAGATCTAGACAACGCTAAAATAGATAAAAATCGAGGAATATACGAAGGTTTCTATGTCATATTATTTTCTTTACACAAATGCTACAAGTAAGCTCGAGCCATCACTTAATCAATTACAGTTTACAGCAGTTTCAATTGATGTTGCTAACTGGAAAGCAAGGAAAGGCCTTAAAATGACAACTTAATAGACTAGAGAGCTGCACAGAAATGAAAAATAAAGTTGGTTTTTACACTTAGTGGTATTTTTAAAAAGTACTTCACCAGACGCTGGTGTTTGGATACTGTGGGAAAACGCAGGACGTCAGTATGAGTTTGTCTGTATGTGTGTGTCCTTTACATGTCCAGTTTGCATTTTCCAGTGTCAAACATTAGCTTTCTACTTACCTCATGAAATGTTATGATGTTATTGGTTCGTAGCCTGGTGTGCTGTATACTGGTAGTTGTGCAACAGGAAGGACATAAAAACTGAGTAATAAAAGATAAAACCAAATTGTTTCTATACCGAACAATTTGTAAGACATCGTGATCCTAATT